TCTTCGATTTTGGAAGTATATCAAGATACCTTCATGCATGGGCGGATCCACCTTAGAGCATATGGGGGCAACTTCCCCCAGTCAAAAAAAGAAGTTTTTTTTACTTTTTTTTGTTTTATGTATGGCTGCCCCCAACAAAAAATAAAGAATGCCCCCATTAACCTCTAATTAACCCATTAAATAAAGTATTTGTAAACTCTAGTGATATTAAATAATTTCTTACAACATAATTCATTTAGTATTACTCACTCCGTCCCAATATATAGTGCATGTTCACTATTTACAAGGTCAAACTTCATTCACTTTCTTTTTTTATTTTTGTTAGCAATTTGATAAAATAAAGTACTATTGTCACTACTAATTTTGTAGATCTTTTTATGTAGTATTTTGATATGTAATTTTTATTTTTTAACTCTCTACCATTTGTCATATAAAATGATTTGAAAATAATTTCAATCAAACATCGTAAACCGAAACAGGCGCTATAAATTGGGACGGAGGGAGTATAATTTTACTAATTTTAAAATATTTTGTTTTTCTTATTTTAAATTTTTTTGATATAAAATTAATTTTTTCATCATGATATAAAAGTACATTTAAAAAAAACCGGGGGCTCTGCCCCCGAACCCCCGCTTTGCTATACTGCCCCCAATCATTCACAATTCTGGATCCGCCACTGCCTTCATGATAGTGACATGTTTGATTTTTACACTATGATTGATCTCGTTTCGAGGAAGGAAGAGAATATCTTCGGTATGTGATTCGATTTCTAGAATTTATAGAGTAAGAAATCTAACTAATTCTTACACCAACATTGCATATAGTTTCGGGATTTTCTCTTGAATGATTCAGCTTGATCCTTATGACGTCATTTCTTCTCTAGTTGTGGCACATATGTTCCCTTGTTAGGGTCAAAACAGAGTTTCTTGATCATCATCGATAATAATCTTCATAGATAACGTAATCGCATCAACCGTTTTTGTAACGCCCTACAACCCGGTCTATTAGAATTGATTGTTTTAAATAATTAATTACTGTTCCGGTCCAGAGTTGGGGAAAATAAAAGTTCTTAGAAATATTATTTGAACACGTCATTAAATTTGTTTTGACTGTCTGATTCCAAAAACGTAAACGGTTTTCACTTCGGACCCGTTCGGGGGGGAAAACGGCGTACCGTTCAGGTCAGATTTTACATAACGGAGTAGAATTTAGGGAATTAATTCCCCACTTAACTCTTCATTTCCCACGCCACTTCCATCCCCCTTAAACCCCATCATTTCATTTCAATTATTTCCCATTAAACTCCCTTTAATTCCCTTTCAATATATTCCTCCTTCCCCTCTTCATTTTCCACCACATTCGTAACTCCCACACACACACAACCCTCATCCTCCTTCGCTTGAATTCTCGGCCAACCAGCAGTAGGTAGACAAGGGGGAATTCCGGCGAGTATACGAGGAGGTAGAAGAGGAGAGGTTCACGCAAGAAGCCGTTCGTTCGTTCGTTCATACACTCGTCCGTTCATTGTCAAACGTTCATCTCGTTTTCGTTTCATCAACCCCATCATTTAGAGGTGAGTAGTTGTCCCCTCTAATTCTAGAACATCAAGTTATAATCTATGTTGTTATATTCATAGGAATATCGTACGCAACCTACGTAGAATCTATGCATGTTCGTAGGTTAGCCATCAAAACGTTCACTACATAAAAATCGTATATATTGGCCTAGGAATCACTAAGAATGTATTCATAAATGTTTAAATTATTTTTCTAAAAAGAATCAAGGCGTTAAGTTCACAAAACGGATCAAAACGAAGCCAAAGTCAGTGGACTGTCTACGGGACGGTCGACCGCCGCTAAGGACGGTGGACCGTTTCCCTTGACCGTCCGTCGGCCACCACCGTAACGGTCGACCGCCGGCCGCGACGGAAGACCGGGGTCGACCGTCGCTATTCCAGAACCCCATAACGTAGCTCACGGTCGACCGCCGGTTGGGTACGGTCGACCGTTTCCCGGGCAGTTTTTCGGGCAGTTTGTAGAACGAGCCCCGTTGACCATATTGACTCAGAATCTGGTTGTATGTTTGTATGAAATGTTAATCTACATTATTATGTTATTTAATTGATATATTCTTAGCGTTGACCAAAGGTAAATATATCAAGCATTCATCATGTTCATTCTAGACGCATGTACTAGGATCATCATCATGTGCATACCGCTGTAGGGAGGTCAGGCTTTTGTGCGCCTACTACAGTGGGCCCGTCCAGGAACCTTTGGGATCCAACGGGTTTTCATCAGGTGGGCTTTGTGTACGTACATGGTAGTCAGGCTACGGCTACCACCCGGTTTTTGCTAGTTCACTTGCGACGTTTTGTCAAGCCCGGGTCATTACCGGAGTGCAGGGGTGATCCTGTCAAGTGAGACTAAGTCAGGGGTGTCCCTAATAGCTTAAGTCATGCATCAAGTCATATTGTCATCATGTATGTTTCATATCACGTCAACATTCAATGTGGTTGTCATCATCATGTATGTTCCACGTCACATCAACATACAATGTGGTTGTTATTCATTTTGTTATGTGTAATAATATCCCATCAAGTGCAAATTAATCAGTTAGTAAACATGTGGTTTTTCGTACGTTAAGTACAGGTATTAATATGTGTATAGCCATATGGGTTATCACTTTATGTTCTTTTGTTAGATTCACTCCTCAGCTTATGCTGAGCGTGTAGTTGTTTTTGCTACTCGCAGGTAGACATGACGGTACAGGTGCTAACCCTGGAGGACAGTGATGGTGGGAAGATGGGCGGCGCATGGACAAGTTCAATAATTAAATACATTTAATTAATTAATCATTTGGGCATGAATCCACCATTTGTCGTTTTACTTATTTACTTCCGCTTTTACTCTGGATTTTATGTCATACACGTTTTGCAAATAACTTCCTATCATTTATTCCACTAATTAAACACAACCGTTTTCACAATAAATGGACATTAATGCGTTTTCCTCTACGGACGGTTCTCGGACTGTCCATGTAACCCTACCGGTCCGTCGGGTCGCGGGTGAACCGGGTCCACGGAAGGCGGGTGTTACAGTTTTGTAGTTCACAGAGTGAGGTTCAACATAATGTTCAAGTCAGGGTACTTTTACCATTATGATTGAGTCTCGTGGTTCACAGAGTTTTCAAGGATTGGTATCATAATACATCTTTTGGGTTTGATGGAGAATCATGAGCTAAGACAAGTTTTTCATGGTCTAGTATTTTGATACAAGCAATGGAATTCAATCCTTTCAAGATTGATCAAGTGGGATGCTTCAAGTGTGTAATTAACACAGCAAGTTTGAATATTTCAAGGATATAAGTCACAAGATACGAATATAACGTTTGCGAATTATCGTTGCAAATCGTAGGTTTTCATCCTTCATTGTTTCACTCTTTGGAAGTTACACAAGGGGTCATTGTCTTAAGGAAATAGCCATTTTGACTTTTCGTCTCGAATTTGAACGTATTTTAGGACAACGAATCTAACTGTTAAAGAGTGTCAATACGTCATGTCATCAGCAGACTGTAGTATTGGCAAGTACGTTCTCGTCTATAGGCAAATCAAATCCATTTTACTGTACGTATTTTGGCTAGTGATAGTTACCTTTCTATCAATGGTCATGTTTCAGAGGCTATATATATCATCATTGTGGCAAGAATATATCACATTCTCACATTATGGAAGGAACTTCTCAAACAATTCCTTACACCATAAAATCGATTGGTCTACTTGGTAGTCATGCTCTTGGTGGAAATCCAAGGTTCATGGCTATGGCAGTTGAATTAGGAAGAAAATTATTAAGGCAAAGAATTAGAGTTACTTATGGAGGAGACAACGTTGGCCTTCAAGGAGCTGTTGCTTCAACAGTTCATAATAATGGTGGCATAATCAGAGGTTTAATACCAGGGCATATAGCAACACGAGGGGTCTACGGACCAACGTACGACGTAGAGTACACAGTTTCTAGTACCTACTGTAGGTACTTCGAGATGAATCATGTTGTGGATGCTTTCATCGTACTTCCTGGAGCAGTTGATACTATTAAAGGTTTGTTCACCTTAATCTCATGGGCATCAGAAAGATTGCAAAGCAGACCCATTGATCTCTTAAACATTGACGGTTATTTCAATAACCTAATCAAATTTTTAAATGATGCGGTGAGGCAGAATTTCATGGCTTTCAGTTAGAGGAAACTTTTCATTTCTTCTTTCTTTGTTGATGAGCTTTTAGACAAACTAGAGATTGTTAAAGCTTTTCCGGGTCTTGGAGCTAATTATGACGAGTTTGCAAATCCTGGAAGATTAGACTTAGAATTACATCTGGAATGTTCCTCGTGTTTCTTCGTTCTTTAGTATTTCACTGTTGGTGTCACTGTTTCACCTCTTGTTTTGTATTGTCACCACGTCGCGATCTTTCGAGTCAATAGGGTATACAGACGAAACAACGATTTGTCTTGTTGATACGTTAGCACCACTTTATTCATTCAATGTAACGCCCCAAAACCCGACTTGGTATTTTTAATTAATTTATATAATTAATTAATTACTAAGTCGAACAAAATGAAGATTATTTTCTAATTTGCGTATTTAATATGAGAGTTGACCTACGTTGTAGGGCTCGCTGTTCTGAACCCGACCGCGCGAATGGATTGAGAATCGGACTTACTGGGCCCAAGATATAATTGCCGAATAAGGTAATTGGATCTAAATACATCTTGACGGGTTAGAAAGTGTAATCTGGACCCCAAAATTTAATTAATTATCATATCAAACGCACATTCACTCTTCCTCGTACGTTTCCCGTCGGTCTGCGCCCCACTTCCGTTCGTCGTTCCGCCAGCCAGGGAGAGAGACGCCGTTGCCGAGCCGCCTGAACGCCGCCGTCGCCGTCGCCGACCGCCCCTCCTTCCCCGTCGCACAGTAGATCCGGAGTGCAGCGGCGAGCTTCCCTCTTTCGATTTGGTTTTTGATTCTTCAATTTCGAGGTGATTCGTGATTCCTATACCTATAGTTGGCGCTAATCCGTAGATTAGGATCTTGTGGTATCAACCTAGTGTTTGATTGTGAAATTTGTGGTTGATTGTGCATTGGATTGGATTGGATTGGGTGTGTGTTGGGGGGCTGTTTTCCGGCGACTGGCCGGCGGCTGGCCGGCGGTGGCTGCGGCCGACGTACGGGCAGTTTCCGGCGGGTCCAATTTGGATCCAATTGGTTTGATTTGGACCCAATTGGTTTAATTGGGTCAATTCGGGTTCAATTGGGTTAGCTCTTGTGCAATCGGGTTTCAATTGGGATTGATTTTTGTGCAAACGGGTCGGTTTGGATTCAATTGGGGCTGTCCGGGCAGTTGGGGCTGACCGGGTCGTTGGGCCAACTGTCCGGGCTGCTGGGCCGGCGGGTCCGGCTGTTGGGCCGGCTGCGTTGGGCCGTTGGGCAAGCTGCATTGGGGCTGCCTGAACGGGCAGCGGGTTGGGGCTGCCGGGTTGGTCCGGCGGGTTGTCGGCTGATCCGGTGGTAATTGATACTGTTCCGGCGGGGGCAGCGGACCTAAGGATGGATTCCTTGGGCTCGATTCCGCGCAGGTAAGTTGAGTTAACTGTTATTTTGCTGTTTGTTTATGCATGACGGTAATCGTGGGTATTTGGCCCGAATAGGCCGCTACGTGATTTGTTGTGGATTGTGAACTGTAGTTTAAATTAAATTGATCTTATTGGTGAATAATGTGGATTATGAATAATATATGAGAAATAGGCCACCTAGTATAGTTAGGCGGACCTGAATTGGATGGACTGATTGAATCACCAATAGGATATGGTTAGGAAATTGGCCATTGCGGGGCGTCGTCACACCCCCGGTGGTCTTGGGTTAAAAACGTACGTACGGAAGTCCGCGACCTGTCCTGGCATCGCAGGGACAGGGGCTTCAACCCGCCCAAAGTGAATCTCCTTTGGGTTTCAGAGCTAGCCCTTGTATAGCATCGCTTGGGGTGCCATGACTCAAAGTTAGTTGATGTGAAATAAAATAATGACATGATGTTCAAATGGAAGGTGCTAGAATAAATATGTTTATTTAAGCTGTTTTTCTCCGTGACCACATGCTATTGTTTAATTGTATGTTAATGTGGTTCTATTCTGCGAGTTAATGCTGGCTGAGGTATATTTTCACTCAGCGTTTCGCTGAGTGTGTAGTCGTTGTTGTTTGACTACACGCAGGTAGGAATACAGATTTGGATGGGCAACCCGGAGGGCAGTGAAGTGGTGGCATGGCGTGGATGGCTCATGTTTGCCTTAATAATCAAACTACATTATTTAAATTGATTTTATGGACTGTTGGACATTATTTTGGTTTTATTATGCTTCCGCGACGTTTGGACTTATTTAATTACTTCGATGAACTTTGGTTTAATTTAAACTCGTACGGATGAATTTTATAATCTATTTAATTATTTATTTTAGAAAAGAAAATTTATGCATGCGAATACCAACTTATTAACAACCCGGTTCGTTAACCCGTTGGTTCGGGTTACGCGGCTTGGGGTGTTACATTTTGGTATCAGAGAATGTGGTTTTAAAAACGAAAATAATCAGATATATACGTTCCTGTCTTGGATTGGTCACTGTCTTGCTACTATTCATAATCACTACATATATACATAGTATATGTCTTTCTCACCAAACACCTTCTAATCAGATTTCGGAACTCATATCCTCTCCTCTCAAATTAAAAAAAAAATTCATATCTTATCACATCTTCAAAACTCACCAAGCGAGCCTAAGTCATAATTCACAATTATCCATGACGACTAGTGTGATCATGTTATATTAATAATTGTGAGAAAGAATATATTATATTACATGTTGATAACATGTGTAAGAGTTAGCAAAAAAAACATAGTCACAGTTGAAAATCTCAACCACCCGAGTCGAATTTAACACGCTAGTAGTTGGTTCATATAAAGAATGTAAATATGAAAGAAAAAAAAGCTGTATAAAAGAATGTAAATATGAACTTAGCTGCCCGGTGCCAACTTGAGGGAAATGGATAACTCACAAATATCCTTGAAGTTGATTTTGATTAATTTCGGACCAAATTTGTTGTGCTGAGACTCTCAAAAGATAATTAGCTTTCTCAAAATTTTAACATCACACTACCAAAGACTTATTAATGCTTAATATTGAAATACAAGGTGGCTCAATAGTATGGGATGACACAACGTAAATATTCTAGAAGAGAATAACAAGATATGTACCAATTCGCCAATTTTATATATCGAAAAAAAACATCTCACAGTTGAAGATTTATAACTACCATCATGTTGTAAAGTATATGTAAAACCTGATGTCTAGAATGAAATGTTCCCAACAAATAATTGTTGAATGAAGAAAATGAAAACAAATATTATGGGTTGAACCATTAGGATTAACTCTAAACCAAAGTATTTTGGTGAATTCACATAATTTGAAGCAAATGAAAAAAACTTATAAATTATAAGCTACTTAATGAACTTACGCAGCTAATAATACATATCATATTGAGCAGTGGTTCACAAGAAAGAATTTTTGAATTAGACAGTTTTGCAGGTAGTTACCATATATTTAAAAAAATTGCCATATATTTAGACTATGTGAGAGATTACTATCTAATAAGTTATCTTTAGAAAATATATATAATAGATAAGTGAAGTGGACTGACGTTAGATTAAATTTGAGGAAAGTAGCTTCTAAAGGTTACTTTTAAGAATTTAAAAGTTTTGACAAGTATGATACTTTTAATGAGATTAATTTTCTAACTTATCAACTAATACAAAAAAAAATTATATGAATCAACTAAACGAGGGTTGCTCGAGAAAAAAAATATTGCAAAGGGGTTTCAACTACGCTCTTTTAAATTGGTGATGATAATATTTTAAGTGGTAAGTGACTCTGCAAAAAAAACTATATAAAGTAACTTCAAGAATAATTTCAGGTAAGCTTGAAATTAAATTTGTTCAATCCATGTGAGAAAAGGGTATATTGTAGCACTAAGGTAAGGTGTGAAATTGGTGGCCCTGTGGCATCATTAAAAAATTGGTGGCCGAGGAGCATCTTTCTGAAGAAATTTCCCGGTGGTTTATCTCATTTGCGGGATGTGGATTCTTCTCCTTTGGGATGGGGTTTTAATTTACGAAGTGCTTTTTTTTGCGGGGTCAAAGTGTAAACAACTGCACAAATAGGATATGGTTAGGAAATTGGCCATTGCGGGGCGTCGTCGCACCCCCGGTGGTCTTGGGTTAAAAACGTACGTGCGGAAGTCCGCGACCTGTCCTGGCATCGCAGGAGGGGCTTCAACCCGCCCAAAGTGAATCTCCTTTGGGTTTCTGAGCTGGCCCTTTTATAGCATCGCTTGTGGTGCCATGACTCAAAGTTAGTTGATGTGAAATAAAATAATGACATGATGTTCAAATGGAAGGTGCTAGAATAAATATGTTTATTTAAGCTGTTTTTCTCCGTGACCACATGCTATTGTTTAATTGTATGTTAATGTGGTGCTATTCTGCGAGTTAATGCTGGCTTAGGTATATTTTTTCACTCAGCGTTTCGCTGAGCGTGTAGTCGTTGTTGTTTGACTACACGCAGGTAAGAATACAGATTTGGATGGGCAACCCGGAGGGCAGTGAAGTGGTGGCGTGGCGTGGATGGCTCATGTTTGCCTTAATAATCAAACTACATTATTTAAATTGATTTTATGGACTGTTGGACATTATTTTGGTTTTATTATGCTTCCGCGACGTTTGGACTTATTTAATTACTTCGATGAACTTTGGTTTAGTTTAAACTCTTACGGATGAATTTTATAATTTATTTAATTATTTATTTTAGAAAAGAAAATTTATGCATGCGAATACCAACTTAGTAACAACCCGGTTCGTTAACCCGTTGGTTCGGGTTACGCGGGTTGGGGTGTTACATTTTGGTATCGGAGAATGTGGTTTTAAAAACGATTCTTTGCCAAAATAATTAAACTTATATTTAAAAAAACTCATTTTGTTTAAAAAAAATTATCAATTTTGAAAAAAAAAATATTATTTTAACACATATTGTATATACATACTAGTATCACACCCGTGCTTTGCACGGGTCGCAATTACGTTGTAAATTAACATTGGTATCATTATTAAAGGAAAAAAATACAACATATAATGAAATATAATATTTTTTTAGTATTGCAAAGCATTTATAAATTACAAATTTTGAAAAACCTCTTTATAAACTACATTAGTGGTACATTTTGTTGAGACATCCTCTGCATTGCAAATAAGAATCTTCAGGCCATTCCGATTTGTTACCTTTGAAATCTCAACATATAATTGTCCATGACTAAATATGGATTTCCGTAACAACGATCCCACGTGTTTTAAAGATTGGCCTTGACTCTTATTAATCGTCATTGCATAAGAAGTAACCACGGGGAATTATCTTCTTTGAAACTTGAATGGTATTTTTGCATCACATGGTGTCAGTGATAGTCTTGGAATAACAACTTCTTGACCCATGTGCAGACACCTTTCTATTGACTTGTCATAGAATTTTTTGGAAGTACAAATATTTACTTCCTCCGTCCCGCTATATTCGTCCACTTTTGACTTTTGAAACTGTTCATCTAAGCACTTTGACTCATCAAATTCTCTCAATGTGTAAGCTTAAATATAGTCATGTGTGATCTTGTTTGATTTGTCTTAACATATACTCCCTCCGTCCCCCATAGATCTTCTCAATAGCCCTTTTTCTTTGTCCACAATAGATCTTCTCATTTCATTTTTTAACAATTAAAATACCACAACTACCCCCACTTACTTTATTTATTACACCTCACCCACCTCATTTAATACACTCCACCCATTTTTCATTAAGGGTATTATGATAAACTTTGGGATGGTGTGTAAAAATGAAAGTGGACAAATACTCTGGGACGGAGGGAGTATTACTTAAGTAAGTAAGTCGCCAATTACTGCCAAATCAATATAAAGATTTGTATCAAATAATTATCTTACAATTTTCATAGCTTTGAGATCTCAGATTGAGATTACTGTCATCTCTGTATTTAGTGGAATAGTTTTTGGTCCAAATTGGGTGGATACAATGTTGCAACTCTGAGATAAATTATCTCCACCACACGACAATAACCTGTATGATACAATAAAAGCAAATTTATTTAGCTGTTAGATCAAAACCATAAGTAAAATAAAGAAATAGTAACTTACTCTTTTCGGAAGTCTTTAACTTCGGCTGAGTCCTCATTAAGCACCACCTTACTCACATTATAAAAGGTAGAAACATAGACTTTTCCTGAATTTTAATTATTGCAATCGTTAGGCATGAAAGAATTTTTGAAAAAGAAATAATGTTAAAAGAACATATAATAGTGATACCATTATATCGCCTAGGTTTCACCATTTGCAAACAAAGAATTGGTGGACTTGTCAATCCTTCATTGAGTCCCTCGATCACTTTATCTATATGATGAGCCCACAACGTACAATCTAGACGATTTCCCCTGAACAAAGATTCATTAAAGTGATTAATAATAGAAAGCTCTAAAAAAAATTGACATCAAATATGATACATTTATGTTATGTATACCTATGGTCTTCCAATACAACCTCCATCATCCTCTCGGGGGCACATTTAACCATGCGTTCTTCGGGCATGGTACGACTAACAACTTTTCCAATGACATATGTGATTAAAATAGTATATAATATTTATTTAAAGTAATGTATACTCGACATATAAAATTTTTTGATATAAAAATTACTACCTCCGTCCCATTTTATAACGCCTGTTTCGGTTTATGATGTTTGACTGAAATTATTTTCAAACCATTTTATATGACAAATGGTATAGAATTAAAAAATAAAAATTACATATTAAAAAACTACATCAAAAGATCTACAAAACTAGTAGTGACAATAATATTTTATTTTATCAAATTGCTAACAAAAATAGAGAAAGAAAGTGAATGAAGTTTGACCTTGTGAATAGTAAACATGCATTATAATTTGGGACGGAGGGAGTATATAATTTACTCACCAATCAACAAAATGTGGTCCAAGCAAGGTAGTAACCTGATATCATCGAATGCCATGAATTTGTATCGAAAGTTTGGAAAAAAGTACGACAATTTTTGAATTTTGGGTTTTCCAAAAAATACTATCATAAAAGGATGGGAGGTTGTCTTAGTGTCCTGGAAGTTGTGCTGAACTTTGAACCGGGTTAAACCATAAACTTGATTTTCTTCAATTTTCTTTTCGAAAATTTTGATATTTTGATCTTTTATCTGTGCATGGATCCGATTTCCCTGTAAATCAAGAAATAGTTATTTTTGTTATAAAAACGATTTGTTTAATAAATAACAACGATTAAAAAAAATTCTAA